CGAATAATCATTTAAGAACATGCAACTACAATTAGATGAATTGATATTTACTGGATCTACCTTGGGTGTAGCGCGCTAGGTACACCCAACGTGCGTGCGCCTACGCGACTGTCTTTCTGCATCATTGTGTGAGACACTTTGCGTCAGTCATCATTCCCAAGGAGTGGAAGAGGCATAACTCTACTAAAAATGCAATGAGTTAGCGGTTATCGGGCATCCTCTTCAACCGCCACACCCATGAGGTCGCGCACAATCAAAAAGCTGTCTACGCACCAAATTTGCAAATGGCCTGTGGCACCCGCTGCAATAGCACCCCAGTCTTTCACCTAGCACCGCTTTATTATAATGCTGGGCGCATAAATAACCTGCAACTCGCATTCATGTTGTTGACGTGTCTTTACAGTAAACGACTAATTTGTGCTCAAATACTCTGCCTCCCAACTCGCAATGCTTGGCATTTATGTCTAACATTACCTAATAACTTAAAATAGCCACGAGCAACGCACTCCTTGAACAAAACAAAAGTAACATTTTGATGTGCTCCTCACTTGGTGTGAGAAAGCCAATAAGACGGAAACCGGCAATTCGGCGCCAAAATAGCGTACACGCGATCTGTTGCAAGACGCCCAGTTCAGCTTTGGCTAACCAGAGGCGATGAATTCGATCGTAAACGCTATGCTTTAAATGGTTATATCTTATTGGGAATCATAGAGATACCAATTTAAACGTATTTTTTTGCCATCTGACCGACGGAAGGAACTGAAATGATGTGATAAAATCTAAAAACACATTTCCTCTTTTCTCGGATGCGTCTCTCACTTCACTCTGTTTCGTGATGCTGTATCAAATGGGGATGGAAGCGGCTGCAAGAACCATTTTACCGCTTTAGAAATGCTCCTCGGTCGTATATGTAAATATTTATTCGCGAGATTACCTGGTTCCGCCACAACAATCCAGCTCTACAATCTTGGGCGCACAAGGAAGACAGAATAGGGAGCTATGCAAAAACAATTGACGCAATGACAAGAATTGTCCACTTTAAATTGCTCGTAAAGTAGGAGAAGTCCAATGTGCTCTGCCGCATTGACAAAGTTCCCTTGAACATGACTAGGTGATAAATGTGCCATGCTGTCCACGCGAACACTGATAAGAAAGATGCATAAATATTTGGATTAAAGCTTAGCCAGTCCTTTCCACTGTGTATTATGATTTACCATGAACGTGCATTAAACGACTATATTTTGCATTTAATTCTGCATCATTTTTCAGCGTATGACGGAATTCTGTTGTGAATTGGTTTTGTAAATAAGTCGGTGATCGTCCCTACCTCTTCAAAACAGTTGTTAGTTTGCATCTTTTATTCATTTTTGGCTGACCAAGCATGATTCCTTATCGAAAAAGTATTTAAATTTTGACATGGCGTTTGCGAAACAAGGTGACCTGATACTCACGTTAGTTGGTAAAATTTTGCCCCGCATTCATTTTTGTACAATTCTGTCGAAAGCCCTCAACGGGGCCGTAACCATTGCGATGCTTAGAAAGTCTGAATTTTCGTGTAATTACTATGTCGGCCTACTCAATGCTAGATTTTGCACCCAATGAAATGATTTCTTCGTACAATATTTTGGATATATGTAAAGTTTCATCACATTTATTCTGCATTTTCATTTCCTTAACAGTCGGTTCATTCAATGTTATGGCACAGAACTACTGGAAATATTTTGCGATCGTATGCGATAATGAGGAATTTGCGCTAATAAAGTCGCACTTCTGAAATGAAAGCTAGTCATCTGAACAGATTAAGACGATTGTGTAGGGATATCCTAATCACCAACTGATTATTTTTGTTCATGTTGCTCACTCCTAATAACTGCTTATCGTTTCTGCATCAGTCAAATATTAATTTCTATGGCAATTTAACAACAAGAACGTACAGCAAATTGCATAAATTGCCAAAGAAATACGAACTAATAATCAGTGGGTTAATATGTGTCACAAAAGAAATCGCATTTTTGGTACCATCATGTCAAAATGCGAGAAAACGCAACGTACTCCTGTTGCCTCAGCAGGGGGTGTGCACTTGCAACAGGTTGAATTATGCTCTTGGAAACTTGCCACATCACGCCACTATGTTCGTCAGCACATTTCTACTGTGCGTTCTCCTGGCGTGGCGCCGTAAAGGAATTTCTATGCAACCCCACTCTACTGGTCCTTTCATCTCTAATGTGAGCTAAGCATTAACCAATCTCAATGCACAAGCAGGGCAGAAATCGAATGTCGATTACACAACCTCCCACTTCTTCTAGGGCGACACCGGTCCTGCCAATATTGACACAAAAAATAGCATTTGCTACTCTCCATTTTACGGCAGCAAGTAGGACTAATGAGGGTGGGACATTACTGTCTAAGTAGACTCCATGGACCGGTTGGTTAAAACTGCGAGATTAGCATAGATTGCAATGCACGAATTAACTTTGAATTATTGGGTAAAAGGAGTCTGCTTATAAGGTTGCGTGGTAAATACATGGAGATGGGGATGAAATCAAACGTGTTTGGTATTATTTGAGAGGTGGGAGGAGTGTTTCGAGGCAGAGGCGTTGGGAATGGAAGAACTCATGGCAATCTATTCTAGAAAACGCGCAGTTTCTGCGTTTATTCTGTGCAGGAAACTGCACAATCGACAGTCCAATCTGGTAGATCATTGTGATGGCGAATTCGGAAGTCGCCGTTGAAAACTTAGTTCCTTCTTCCATGCATGCTTTCATTCATTTATTGCTGATGCACGAAATCATCAATTGCTGCTCTGAATCATTTTCGATTCGAAACGTCACTACGACCTCCTGATTTATCAGGAAATTTGTAATTATGCCCATCATCGATGAATTTGAATTCGACTTTTCTAAGTCAGACTAGAGGGTAAATGTTCAGTCATTGCATAGGTTAATAACATTTAAAAGAGGTAGTTTCACAGCAAATGAAATTACCCATCTTCGTATCTCTTCTCAAGCAACTTTGTTTTACGTAACTCAGCAGACCTTCAATTAGTAAATTTATAGCTCAAATTCCTCATATATTGCAAAGAATTCCACCCTTCATGGCATAAGTGCGCGAAGTGCAGTATGATTAATTAAAAATGACAAGGAAAATAGCCTTTTGTACGCACGTGATTAAATGCTCTTTGCTGCCCAAAGTGCACCGCCCTCTAGGTGTCAAATAACTTGAGGCAAAGTTTATTTTTCATTTCATACAATCATAGTAAATAGATGTTGCCTCCAATTTTGTAGTGCACTTTGTGCGGAGTCATGGGTGTGAATCAAATCTTTGGTACGAGAGGCTATACTGAACGGCAAATCTGTGTCATCCAACAATAATGCGGGAAGCCGTTCGGCGTTCAAAGGAGTGACTTGCTGTGGGATTGACGGGAAACCACTCCTCTCTATACCTCTGATGCGCAGTCCAAACGGAAGTTCCTGAAGTTGGAGCGTCTAACAGTAGCAGTGAATTGAGTGGCCAGAGGGCCGCAACGCTGGATGCTATCTCCACCAGTGGATGTGGGATATCGCACGGGCCTAATTTTGGCTAATTCGCCTTATTGCCTCTGATCCCACATATTAGTTGGTCAGAATCGACCCACCTAGTAGTTTCTCACCGATTGGTTAGCTAGAAATCGACTTATAATTGGCCAAATTTATTGACACATTTGAGCCAAGTACGGGCGGTTGAGTGGCTGAGAGTCGTGGCCATTAATGCAGATTCACTGCTGAAAAGGATACCGAATCGCACTTTACTTAAACAGGAGCATTGCGAAACCGATTTATTGCATCAATTAGAAGAGAGAGCTTTACTTCTAATAGAAACAGAAATTGGTAGGGGTGACGATGAAAAGTAGGATTGGATAATCATGATCTTCACTCAAGCTATAAAGATTTGCGGAACTTCGATGGCAAGATGCGAGTATCTAGGAAGCCACATTCTCTATTTATTGGATGCGCGTGGTTCTTAAAGAGATAAGTAGTAGTAGAAATTCGGGTAACAACAAGTAATGACGGCATTAAAACCGATAGAAATGCATAGTCGCATTGTGTGTAGTCAGGCGAGGGAAGCATATTAAGGTGACTCATTGATGATTTGGGCAAAAGTGTGTTGATATGAATATAGTGAGAGTTACCAACCATAGTTGCCTTGCAATCTAATATTAACTTTGATGCACATTGCTTCTTGTATTGCCTAATACCCAGTACTGCGAAAATTTGTAAAGTTTAACTGTTCGCTAACTGATGCATATAAAAGCAGTGCACTGTGTTTGTAGCAGCCTTAGTCAGCAATTTCGAATTCTTCTTCTGCTGGTGGTGCATATTTGCAGCGAATCAAAACCAGTGTGTAAAAGGAAGGTGAGGAATAGTTTTGAGTATTTTGGGCAGATGCCATTGGGAGGACTACAAACAAGTAACCATTAAAGACACTTTATAATGACATAAGCACACTCCAATATAACAATTGTTGCAAACGGCTATGTGGCTTACAATTAATGTTCGAGGGGTGCTTAGCCAACTGTCGTAGATGTTAGTTTGTCCGATCGTGTTGCTGAAGTGGATAACTTAGTTATGGAAATGGACCACCCTTTAAAATAGCCGGTGGAGATCGATCAAACTAGGTTTCTCAGAAAATATTTTGTAATTCGCTTTTGATAAGTATAAGAGCGAATGCAAATATTTTTTGCATCCAGTCAATTGTATTGTTTCCAACCTCATTCCGGTGCAGCTACTGCAAGATGAAAATAGCTCTACTTCACCCAAGCATTTTATGACTATATGTCCGTCCTTGGCAAATTGCAAGCCTCGAAATCTTTACTTTTGCAATTTTTGCAAATTCGTTCTGTGGAGTTTGCCAAGCCTCAGTCAAGAAGGCATCAAATTTGTTCAGTACTACAAATTAGTCGTACTTAGCATTTGGAACATGTGGTGCTGCAGTCGGAACATTGCGTGTACTTAGTCCCCGGCATGACTAAGTATGGCTCCTGCTTTACTTATTCGTAGCAGACCCATTTGAATGCTTCCGGATGCGTTTTTATCCACCTCATTTTTACACCAACTTCAATCATGACCCTTTCAACTACAAACAAAAGTAATGTAGGCTCAAGCAAGCTAACAGTTAAATAGAACATTTCTTTGCTCGATGTGGCCATGCTGAAAGGTTGTTACAATACCACGACATGCTTTTTGGGTATGCTGCCTTACAACAATAATGGTAATGCATAAAGTTATGGCGGTGAACTAATCACACTATAGAGACCTAGAATTTGCTGTTAGCAAAACAAATTATCACTTACCTCCCACTTCTCATGGCAGCTTTCGTAGATTAGACATTTCTTCATTCATGGTGCAACCTCGGTAGGCGAATCCCCATGATCAATGACTCATAAGTGTTCCATTCATGTACCATGATGCTATGACCAAGTTGGACCCGTGGATAAAATCTGGTATTAAGTTAAAGGCTTAGTGCAAATGCTGAATTATGATGAAAAGGACAAGAAATTATTACACCTAGGCGGTCGTGCGGGCGGTAATTGCGGCGTGGAAAGATGCGACGTTAAAATTTCCCTGTCAGGCAGCGTGTTTGTAATTGAGTGATCCCTTGGTAAATGCGGTCGAAGCCGCACCCGCTTTTTCAGTTGATGTGGTAGGGGGAGGAGCTGGGTGTGTTGCACCTAAATCTGAGTTTTATGCCTTCTCATTAGAACAGATGTCGGTGAGTAAGTTCCGGACATTAAGCAGTAAGTTAGCATCGAAAACAGTGTCTAAATTGATGAGTGGGCTTCGCGACGACATTGTCAACTGGGTAGAGCCTATAGTGATTTAAGCAGTAATTTTGAGGCTCTCACGCAGACTGGCGCGTTATCATGACTGCAGTTAACTTCGCGATTTCGGTCTCTTCAAAACGAAATCACACAGACGAATCAAACTTCATTGCATCATGTGCAGACTGACTATTTTATGCAAAACACTTGTGCGCAACTTCCGAGTTGTACAGAGAATAATGAATATAGCCCAAGTGAAATTTTGACTAATTATTTGATGAATGAATGGGAGGAGTGAGGAACAATGAGTGGCAGTGGCAATGACAGAGTGGAAATAAAAGGAAATGTAGGACAGTTTTGTGTTGAGATCGATTCATTTTCAACAGTATACAGAGCAGTAGTATAGTTTAAGAAAAAAAATTTCCAAAGAAAACATTACTGCAGCCGTTAACACTGTCCTACAACATCGATGCACCAGTCAAATTGTGTCTCCCAGACGTGACGTGGTAGCATAAGTGCTGAGTAACCCAACTTCGTGGGTCCTTTGGCTCAAACTTAAGTTAAGCAATAATCAATCTCAATGCATGACAAAGGTAGAATCCGAAATCTTGATTGCACAACCTTCTGTAACTTCTAGCAGGATTGCTGATTTTGATGGTATTCTTTTTTTGGTATTACCTATTATCAGCTTGGAGGCCCCATGTGGAGTTGATGGGGGATGAGCCATTATTGACCAGGCAGCACAGTAAACTCACTGGAACCATCACTTAAACCAATGATGCAACACGGTTTAAGATGGTAGATAATGAGATCTGGATGAAAAGGCAGCTTACAAACATAGGTGTCAGGTAAGAGTTGGTATTCTACGAGGTAGGAGGAGAGGGCAACTGTCGATGATGTCATTCGAGAGCAGGGAGGGATCTGCCAAAGCAGAGGCTCTGAGAATCTAAGAACTCAGCTGCATTCACCTTCGGTAAGTCTACAGCCCCTGCGTTTAGTCTATGCATGAAACCCCACAGGCGGCAGTCCAGCTTAATCGGTCTCTATGAATCAGAAGTTAGAAACTCTGTTAAATACTCCTTTTGTCCACCCAATCGGTAGCTACTTTTTGCTTAGGCATTCATCCACTTGCCAAATCCTGTACCTTCTTGGCCACTTTTAGAAATGGTCTTCAGTGTTTGCTATGCAACAATCCCAACTTCAGTGTCTCGTACGTGCAGATCGAATACGTTCTATTTATCTCTTGTCTACGCATAGCTCTATGTTTCCTAGAACGGCAAAGCATGCAATGGCAACAATGGGGAAAACTCTGTTTGGACAAGGAACACTGCAAAGATAGGTGACTAATTGGGAAATTACTGGTCACAATTGCTTGAAAACGTGCATACACGTATTAGTTTGTCCAGTGAAGTGACTAATCTTGTTATTTGCTAGGAGTGTCACAAGCTACAATTCAGCAAACGGCCAGTAAGCCTTTTCTGCCCGTTGAACCTTAACTCCCTTTTTGCATCGTAAACTGTTTAACGTTATCAGTTGGGGTTCCTTGATGTGGTGGTCTCGTTTTAAAAATGTCCGCATAAACACTTACAACTTCAAGGTAAGAATAGCTGCTCAACGCCTTCACTTCGAATATCACTTCACTCACACCCTGCATTTGCTAGGAGTCTATGATGTACTTCACACGTGTTAGAACCCCATGCACTCCGCATGCTCTGCATGCTCACGCTAGTGTGCGAATAATAGGTGGTAGGTGCAACTTCATTCTTTTGGTTCCCCTTTAGGTAGTACAACCTATAGCCTCGCCCGCGTAAGCGGACATTATACCTGCAGTAGGCAAAAATTTTCCATTCCACTAGGTAGATTTCCTTCACAGATTGTGTGGTTATCGTATTTGTTGATTTATACACTCTTCATCAACTACACTTTTTACCGCTTTTTGCTAAGAAACGGATTCGCTTACTCGTGTGCAGGT